GGCTGCAGGGCTGGGCCCACACCGGGAGACTCTCAGGAGTGTGACCTCCCGCGAGAGAAGCCGCTTCCTGGGACTCACCGCGGAGGCCTTAACCCCTGCACGTGGGGTCTCGTCCACCGCCAACCCCCTCGTCTGTCTGGCCGCATCCTGGCTCGACAGAGGAGGGAGGAAGAGACCTCCTGAGCCCGACGCTGCTCCCAAACGTCTGGGCCGGGGGCAGTGCTGGCTGGGACGCGCCTGGCCCACCCCCCTCCCCATCTGCACCTTCTCCCCGCACCCAAACCTTCCCGCTCCGCTCTGGGGCTGGCCGTGAGGGAACAGAGAGACCCTCAGGACCAGGGATAAAGTGTGCGGGGGTGTGGGGGGGGCTGAGGGGCGGAGGGGAGGGGTCGGGTCGAGGAGGGGAGGGGCATTCACGGTACTTCCCAGCGCCACCTACTTGGCTTCCGCAGAGCCTGGGAGGAGCTGGCCGCGCTCCTGGTGATGCCCAGTGGGCAGAGGACAGCGGGAAAGGCCCAGGGGTTGGCGATGAAAAGGCAAAGGGGCCGGAGCCACAGCACCGCGGGGGAGCCTGTGACCCAGGGGCAGTGCAGGGCACACTGACACACAGCACGAGACACGGACCGTGTACACACGGTGTGTGACATGGGGCTGCAGGACACGCAGTGTGTGCCCACTGCCCGATGACAGCAGGAGGCACAGGCGGAGGGTGGAGGGTGACACAGCCCGGGTGGCCTGCGTGTGAGTGACCGTGGGCCCTGGCTGTGCTGGCCGCCAGCGTCTGTCATCTGGCTGTGTCCACCTGGGCCCGAGTGCCTGCCCCCGGGTCTGACCCCTGCCCCAGGGGGTGCCTGGCCCTGCGCCCCGTGAGCGACCCCTGCCCACCTCTCCCCCCACCCCCAGGAAGAAGCCTGAGGAAGCCGGCTGAGATGGCGGGACCCCTGCATGGGGATGGGCAGGAGACGAAAGGGGGGGGGCGCAGCACAGGGCGGAGGGCAGGCAGATCACGGCTCAGTCCCCAGCACCAACACAGGAGGCCCAGTGGTCCCTCAACAACACTGGGCTGACCCTGGAGGTTGCCACGTACGGTCTGGCTGGGCGAGTGTCTCTGGGAATGGCCACCGGGCCCCCGAGTGCTATCAGGGAGCCTCCCACAAAGGGTGGGGGCAGTTGGGCCTCTGGGCGGCAAAGCAGTCGGGCCCCCCCCACCCCCCCCCCCCGGCTTGACGAAAACATTGACTTTGCTGCCTGCCCCCGCACCAGGACGGCACCTTTCAGCCCTTCGCTGCGTTTTCTTAGCAAGAAGGAGAGGCTGGAGGCCGGGGGGGAAGGCAAGGGCCCTGCTGGGGGCAGGAGGGTGAGTCCCCGACGGTGGGGGTGCGCCCCGTGCCCGCTGCCAGCTGCTTCCTCTAGCAGCCGGCACCTGAGCTCGGAGGGGACATGAGCTCGGAGTCAGGCAGTGCCACCTGCAGTGGTGGCAGCCGGCCCCAGCTGCCTCTGGCCCTCAGACCCATCTGTCCAGTGTCTCTGGCCTCCCACGAGGCTGAGGGGTGAAGACAAGCTGTGGGGTTCTCACAGCTGCTCCTCCTTAGGCCAGTCCCGTGTAAACACACACACACACACACACACACACACACACGCACACGCACACGCACACGACACACCTGGCCTTGGGGGCAGGAGTAGTCCGGGAAGGCTTCCTGTAGGAGGTGGCCTTTATGCCCAGAGCTGTTGGCTTTTGTTCCGTTGCGCAGTGCTGGGAATCCAGCCCAGGTCTCATACGCACCAGCCACATGCTTGAGCCCTGAGCCCCACCTCTGGCCCAAGGCTGAGGTCTGAAGTGGGAAGAGGTGAGGAGCAGACAGCAGGGGGGGCAGTGGGTGGGGGGAGAGAGACTACAAGGGGGTCCAGGTGGGGAGGGAGAGCAGGGGTCGCCATCGGGGCCCGTCTGCTCTCCCCAGGGCACCCCTCTCACATTCGTGCTACTCCCAGTGTGCTCACCCCTGTCTCAAGGAACCTTCCCCGCACAGGCTGGCCCGTGTGTCCACGCTCCTCTGAGGAGGCGGCGGCATATCTGGGCCCACTGCACAGACGGGGAAGTGGAGCGCGGGGAGACTGGGCACAGGACCCGGCTCCGAGAAGCTGGAGCTTCCTGGGTGCGACCGGCTTCGCCCCCAGGAAAGTCAAAGGGAACAGAGGGGTGGGGGTGTGTGAGGGGGTGTCTGAGCTCGTGGCTTGGAAGCCGCCTCACATGCTGGGGGAAAAGGCAGCTGGGAGGAAAAGGGACCACCAAGAAAAGGATGCTTGGAGGGCCCGCTCGGGATGGAGATGCGCTGAAAGTAGACTGCAGACCGAGGATGATAGCCACTTAGTACCTGTACTGCAAACCACAACACCCCAAAGGAGAGAGAGAGGGGAAGGGAATGAGCCTTCCACAGAGGCGGGGGGTCGGGGAGGGGCGGGAGGGATACTGGGGACATTCTCGGTGGTGGAGAATGGGCACAGGTGGAGGGATGGGTACTCGATCACTGTATGACCGAAATGTAATCATGAAAGTTTGTCAGTCTGTAACTGTGTCTCATGGTGATTCACTAAAGAAAAAAAAAAGGCCAGAAGCTTTTGTATCCCTGACTGGGACCCGGGTCAGGGCAGGAAGGTTGGGAGCGTGTCCACCTCAGATGGGAACAGACGCCACGGTTCAGGGTTGCCGACAAGGCAGCTCACGCAGGTCAATCCCCAGCCCTTCCCGGGTGCCCCGAGCACCGCCAGGAGGGATCCCCCGAGCGGGCCCAGAGTCCAGCTGGGTGTGGCTCCTCCCAGCCCAAAAGCCACCACAGAAGCCTGCGTTTCGCGCGGAATTCCTATCCTGGACTTTCACGGCCTCCCCCTGCAGAAGCGACTTCCCATGCCTGCTCCAGCTTCTGGAGAGCTCTGTGCGGGCACAGCCCTCACGGTCGGTCTCTCTCGCTCCCGCCTTCGCCCCTGGTTTTCTGTCTTTCCCCCGGAACTCCAGGCCTCTCTCCGCCCCACGGACGCAGAGGGGGTCCCCGGGTGCCCGAGTTTCCAGAAAGGGGAAGGAGTCTCCACATGGGGGCTAATTGCATGTTCGCTTTCTGCAGAAGAATAGTTTATGGCTTAAATGCCATTAATTGAAAGTCGTTTTGTTCCATGGGAAGTTGCTCATTGATAACTACCCAATTAGGGTTATTTCGCAATTAGCCTATTCACAGTAAATTTATTGCGAAACAGGGAGGCTGGGGTGCGGCGAATTCGAGCACTGTCAAGGCCAGGAGAGGGTGAGGATTTCAATATCCGGCTCGGGGGTCCCGGCCAGATGCGCCATCTTGGCCACCAGGGAACACCAGCAAACGGCCAGCGTGCGGGCAGGTCTTGCTCAGGACTCAGAAGCCGGAGTGCCCACGCGGGGCTGCTCCACTGGGCCCTCGCCAGGGACCAGGGCGGATGGGAAACTCCCGCCTTCCCACTCCTGCACTCCGGCTGGAATCTGCTGGGAGCCCTTGGCTGGCCTGGACCAGGATGGGACACAAGTGGGCAAGGAGACCTTCCTGCCAAAATCTTTTTGTTGTTGATTTTGGGGGCACACCCGGAAGTGTTCAAGAATCACTCCTGGGAAGTATCGGGGTGCTGTGGGTCCAATTCCACGGGAATTATCCAATAAGTTACAAATATTTTAATTAAGTTATTATAATTATACGGTGCACATAATATAACTATATTGTATCAATATATGGTATGTAACACTATATAATTTTTTTTTCATTTCATTTCATCATCCTGTTATTCGTCGATTGCCTCGAGCAGGCCCCAGTAACGTCTCCTTCATCCTAGCCCCGAGATTATATTCAAGGCTCTTTAGGAGAATGAGACCCATCATTGTTGCTGGTATTTGGCATATTGGGTACGCCACGGGGAGTTTGCCAGACTCTGCCCTGTGGGCAGGCTACATTCGACAGCCTGCAAGTTTGTCCAAAGTAGGGATGAGATGATAACTATATAATTAATTAATAACTATATAATTACGATAATTAAATACAGATCATTATCAAATGCATGAGGTATTGGGGTGCTGGGGATCAAATCTGGGCTGGCTGCCTGCAAGGCAAATGCCTTGAATCTCTCAACTCCCCTCCCGAAATCTTGCACTCAACAGCAAGGAAGGAGGAAGGAAAGAAGAAGGAAGGAAGGAAGGAAGGAAGGAAGGAAGGAAGGAAGGAAGGAAGAAGGAAGGAAGGAAGGAAGGAGGAAGGAAGGAAGGAAGGAAGGAGGGAGGAAGGAAGGAAGAAAGGAAGGAGGAAGGAAGGAAGGGAAGGAAGGAAGGAAGGAGGAAGGAAGGAAGGAAGGAAGGAGGAAGGAAGGAAGAAAGGAAGGAAGGAGGAAGGAAGGAGGAAGAAAGGAAGAAAGGAAGGAAGAAAGGAAGGGAGGAAGGAAGAAAGGAAGGAGGAAGGAAGGAGGAGGAGGAAGGAAGGAAGAAAGGAAGGAAGGAGGAAGGAAGGAGAAAGAAAGGGAGGAAGGAAGGAAGAAAGGAAGGGAGGAAGGAAGAAAGGAAGGAGGAAGGAAGGAGGAAGGAAGAAAGGAAGGAAGGAAGGAAGGAAGGAAGGAAGGAAGGAAGAAAGGAGGAAGGAAGGTAGGTAGACTCTAGTCAATGGACCTAACCAGCTCCCTCTCCACTCGTTTCCGCCCAAGCAGGACCCTGTCCACTCCCTTCCACTCAGCAGCCCCGATCCTGGTTATGCACTGCAGAGTCCGACACAGACGCGAGCTCAGGGCGTCACCGTCACCTCGCCCGTGGCCGGACCGGACACACGCTGCTTCCACATGGGGCCGAGGGGGGCCTGCCCTCACCCCACTCCAGGAAGCTCTGGCCGCACACCCGGCCGACACGAGGGCCCCGTGGGGTCCATGGTCCCCCAACTGACCCGGGCAGCCTGAGGACGGACGGAGGGACGGACCGACGGAGAGGCGGACAGGCGGACACTCACCTTCCAGCGGGCAGAGCCGAGCCACCTTCTCGGGCATGAGCAGCCCCAGCTTGTGGCGGCAGTAGGTGTCGGCGATCTCCTGGCGGCAGTGCTTGGACTTGGCGCGGGACAGCGCGGAGATGGCTTCCTTGCCCGAGATGTCGCACCTGGGCGGCGGCTCGTACCTGGCGTCAGGGGCGCCGGCGCCGCTCCTCTTGGCGTGGGGCGTCCGGGGCGCGTCCTTCCCGCGGCTGCCGGTCCCTGGTGCCCTGTTCCCGGGGGGCCGCGAGGGACCCTGGCCCGGGGCCCCCTGCTCCAGCTTCCGCTTCAGAAGCTCCTTCTGCCGGCTCAGGGCCCTCTTGCCCAGCTCGGGCTGGTGCTTCTGCTTCTGCGCCCGGGGCGCGAAGTTGCTGTTGTCCACGTTCTCGAAGTCCTTGGGGACGGAGTTCTCGTTATTGCTGTCCGTCCGCACTTTCTCCTTCGGCCGGTGGGAGAAGTAGCCGTCCTGGGGGGGGGGGGGGGAGAGGAGGCTGTGAGCGGCCGCTGGGGTTTCTCACCCAGCCCCAGCAGGACGCGGCTCCTGGCCCCGGTGACCCCATGGCAGGCAGAAACAGCACCCAGGGGCTCTGGGTCTGAGCCCGAAGACCCGTGATGGGCCCCAGCTCCCTTCCCTGGATTTCCCCCTGCGTGATACCGCCAAGGCAGGCAGACAGACAGAGAGGTGTTCCCCCCGACCTCCAGCTTCCTGTTGAAACCCTGGCAGAGGGCAGTGGAGTGTGGTCTAGGGGCTGGGAGGGCAACACTTGTGGGGAGAGTGTCTACCTTGTACTGCCTCTTTGCTCAGAGATGGTCACAGACTGGAGCCTCACAGAAATCAGCCAAGGGCCACAGAGATGGTGCAATGGGTGGCACACGGGCTTTGCAAGCAGGAGGACTGGGCTCTGTCCCTGGATCTGCCTGGTCCCTAAGCACCTCTAGGATTGGTGCCTGAGCACAGAGTTGGAGTATCCTTGAAGTAGCACCCAGTGTGGCCCCCAAAACACGCACACACACGCACGCACACACACACACGAGTTCAGTCTGAGCCTAGAAAGCGCGGTAATTTCCAAGGAAGAACCGTCCCTGCTATCCTCTTATTGAGGGTGAGGGCGTGGGGACATGAGTTGAATCTGATGTTGAATCTCGGGCACTGACGGGGTCATGTGACACTCTGGGCGAGAGCTTTGGCTTCTGGGGACTTTACCTGGAACAGCACCAACGATGTCACTCATGTGGGGTGGGGGGGCAATAAAATGGCGGGGGGTCCTCCTGGGGAAAGTGCCTGGCTTTGGGGTCCTTCCAGGAAGGGGGCGCCCCCGATACGCTCCCCCGTGTAGTAGGCAGGTCCTGGTCACTCTGTCTCCGATCAAATGCAGAGTTCGCCTGAAGCCCCCATAGCTCCCAACCCCCATGACCGACAGCCCCTCCTCCGCCCCCATAGCTATTCCTGTCCCCCATTTCTGCCCAGGGGCCCCTGCACGTCCCCACAGCCTCACACACATTTTTTCTTTTTTTTCCTTTTTTTTTCGGGGGGGGGGGGTCATACCCAGTGAGGCTCAGGGGTTCCTCCTGGCTCTGCACTCAGCAATTACTCCTGGCGGTGCTCGGGGGATACTGTGGGATGCTGCAAATTGAACCCAGGTCGGCCGCGTGCAAGGCAGACACCCTCCCCGCTGTCCTATCGCTCCGGCCCCTCACACACGTTTTCTAACTGCCACGTTTTCTGACTTCCAGCCTGGCTCAGTGGGCCTGAGTGGGAGCTGGCTGCAGCCCCCAGCCTGGGTCACCCTCGAGACCATCTGTCCTGTGGCCAGTTTGCTCCCAGCAGGAACTGGCCTGGGCTGGGCCCAGGACCGCCTCAGGGGTGCAGCTGGAGGGGAAGGCGGGCAGGACGGAGCCCGGGCACCAGGCCGCCGAGGGCTTCCCGCGCAGGATCAGTGCTGCTTCCTGCGGGGGGCAAGTCCCCCAGGCTCCCCCTTCCTCTCCTGAAGTTCACTTTCCCGTGGGAAGACCACAGGGATAGCTGACCCATTTTCTGGCGAGATGCGTCTCTTCGTGGGCACTGCGCTCCGGATCTCTAGAACATTCTCATCCCAGACAATGAAGACGCAACGGGCCTCTCGCCACCCGTCTCCCTGCTGACGCTGAGCCGGACTATTTCTGATCCCTTTCGGGGGTGGACACAGCACGAACCCCCCACGGGTCTGGCACCAGGCCCTCAAGGTTCAGCCACGTCTCATGGCAGACTGCCTTACTTTGGAAGACTAGTGTTTTGTTGCACGTAAACGGCGTGTTCCATCCATCTGCCCATCGTCCATCCACCCATCCGTCCAACTGCCCACCCACCCTTCCGCTGGTACGACCATTCACCTATCCATCCACTTTCCATTTACTACTCCCCTCCCTCCCTCCTCCCTCCCTCCTTCCTTCCTTTCCTTCCTTCCTATCCTCTCTCACTCCTTCCTTCCCTCCTTCTTCCCTTCCTTCCTTCCTTCCTTCCTTCCTTCCTTCCTTCCTTCCTTCCTACCCTCTCTCACTCCTTCCTTCCTTCTTTCCTTCCTTCCTTCCTTCCTTCCTTCTTTCCTTCCTTCCTTCCTTCCCACCCTCCTTCCCCCATCCCTCCCTCCTTCCTTCCTTCCCTCCCATCCTTTCCCTCCCTCCCAGTTGCCAGCCAGCCGTCGTGGATGAAGGAGACACCCACGCTATCTCATCTTGCACCCCCCACCCCACCCCCACCCCCTCCTCATTGCCACATCAGTTTTTTTCTCTGCTTTCCACAGAAAATCACGATCCAGAAACACAAGCCCATTCTCCCGTCCTTAAAACGGACTTTAGCAGTTTCCAAGAGAATGCGGGGGCGACTCCATGCGCCTCCTCATCCTCATCTCCCCCAGACCCGGGCCCTTCAAGCCTTCGCTCCCTGTTTCCCTAAAACACAGCCGAGAGGGCAGTGCCGGCCCCACTCCAGGGACTGATGAAATGATGGGTCCCAGGCAGGACACTGGCGACAAACCAGCCATGCCCCAGTCTCCTCCGGAAGGTGGGGGTGGTGGGGGCTGGTCATGTGACTGATGCTGGGGGTCCTTGGATGAGGACGAATGACTGTAAAGGTTCCAGAACATTCTCATCCCCAAAGTTGGAGGAGGAATGACCCCCCGCACGACCAACTACCCGTGGGCTCGATGGTCCCCCCAGGGGCTCGGCCCTGAGAGCAGACGAGTTCTCAGGGTCATTCCACAGTGTCTCCCCGCCTTCTCCCCTCACCCAACACGCTCACCTTGGGCTATTTATGCAACCGCCGCCCTCTGACTTATTTTATTTTAATGCCCTTATTGCAATGATTGCGCACTGCAATACTGGCGAGTGCGCTCCAGCCTCTAATTGCCCTGCCGCCTCCCTCCCCGTGAGGGACCGTCACATCCACTTTTATTCCGGAGGCATAATGAAATGCAAGGATGCCCTCCGTTCCCGCTCAACCTTGGGCTGTTCAGAGCCCGTTCCAATCAGGTAGAAATAGATTTCCCACGACGTGGCTGTGAGGGGCGGCCGCCAGGAGACACCTATGCTCAGGGGGGGAGCCCAGGCTGGGAAGAACCCTCGGCCCCCTTTGGGAGGGTCGCCGCTCTCTGAGGGGTCCCCTCACGAAGGGGCCTCTGCACTTGTCTCTGTGTCGGCAGGCCACGGGCCTGGCGGGAGACAGTCTTGCTGGAGTGAGTGAGGGGTTCTCTCAGCTGTACTGAGCGTGTGTCACCCGACAAGTGCTGTCCTTCAGAGACCAGCACCTTGGCCGTTTGCTTGAAAAGCCACTGGGTGCATCTAAGTTCATCATTGCCCTTAGCTGCAATCCAGAGATGACCCAAATGCCAAGTGACAGACGAAAGGATCAAAAAATCGTGGTCTTGGGGCAGGAGTGATAGTACAGCGGGGAGGGTGTTTGCCTTGCACGTGGCCGACCCGGGTTTGATTCCCAGCATCCCATAGGGTCCTCCGAGCACCACTAGAAGTGATTCCTGAGTGAAAAGCCAGTAAACCCTGCGCATCATCAGGTGTGGCCCAAAAAGGAAAAAAAAATGGTCTCTGTACACCGTGAAATACTATGCAGCACTAAGAACGAACATCATCACGCACCTTGCCATGGCCTGGACGGAACGAGCGTGAAATCAGAAGGACCGAGACAGACACAGAACAGTCTCTCACGTGTGGGAATTAAGGACGCACAGCCAGGGAGCAACAAGGGGCCAACGGCAGCACAACGGGAGGCCGGATTCACGCAGCTGGGCGTGATGGGGGTCCTCGGGGGAAGGGAGCTGGGTACATTAGTGATGGGTGCAGTGCTGGAATTCTGTGCATGAGAAGCCATTATTGATGGTGTTGTAAAGCACAGGACCTCCATCAATAAAAGATTAAAAAACAAAAACAAACAAATGAACAAAACCAGTGACTGGTGGGACTGCGAGAGCCCAGAGTCTGGGGGTGGACGGACGCGCCTGAGTGTGCTGTGTCTTCTCCCAGCCTCATGGCCGGAGCAGAATGTCCAGAAACTCTTTGGCATGACAAAAATCATCTCACCGCTCTGGGCTCATCTCTCCTGAGGGACCCCTCTCCTGGGAACTGATGGGAACCAGGAAGGCCTGGAGAGCACAGCTTTGGGCTAGGCATCTATTGGAAAGTGCATGGACAGCATTTAGTGGGGCCCGGCTGCCACAGGCCCTTTGCACATGCTCGCTCATGCCACCTGCAGCAGAGGCTGTGTTATCTGCCCCGTGTTCCAGGTGGGATCGCTAACGCCTAGGGCACCTGTGTCCATGCTTGCTCTGAGCCCATCAGACTACCATTCACTTCCATGTGGACACACCTCATACCGAATGGCTGAGTGTGGCTGAACTTCGGGCCCGGGCTTTATCCTATCAGCAAGGGGATGGAGGCCCCCGAGGGCGCATGGGAACGGCATGTGTTTCCTGAAGCATCTCAGCACCTACCCAGGTGCATGGAGAAGGAGAGGCAGGGAGCTTGGTTGCACGCCACGACGATTCTTCATCTCGTGGATCTGACTCAGCACGAGCTCTGAGTCCACTGGGCCCCCGGGCAGGTGGGAACGTGCCTGGCCTGGTGGGAGGCAGCCGGCCATGCTGGGCATGGGGAGTTTTGCTCCATGAGGACCCTAAACGTGCTCCCCAAGGCTCCGGAGCACACGGAACCAGCTGAGACGTGCAGAGCACGGGCGAGGAGGAGAGAGCGGGTGGGTGGTCCAGGCTGGGGTTTCCCAAAGGCTTCCTTCCCGGGCGCCCATGAGGGCCCGGCAGTCCAGGGAAGCCCCTCCAGTGTGTCCGGATAAAGGTAGAAGTTGCCAGAACCTACAGACACATGAGGGCTGCCTCGGGTCGTGGCCTCTGTGGGCAACGCAGCCTCCAATAAATAGACCTCGGCCCAGCCGGACACGCGTGCAGCGGAGGCTCCTGCTTTTAA